TGGATGAGGAATTATGTTGCTGAGGTTGTCATGGGTATTGGAGTATCTTCATTCAACTGGTGTCGTTGTGGTAAATTTTACTGTGTTTCTACGCAGAAAATAAAAAAATTTCTTATTATCTTTTTATTCATTCAAGATATGGTAAAGATGACATCAAAAATGGAATCCTCAGGTAAAATAACCCCTAGTCACCCACTACAACCATACCTTTATCTCTTATAGTTTAGAAGTTACACGTATTTCAACCTGTCACAGGATATTTGTTGGATTCTTCACTCTAGCCATAGTCATTATGAGTACAGGATGCATTTTGCATACTGAATTCCTTTGTATTAAATTGAATACCTTTACGTTATTTTGAATCCCTTTGTATTAGTGATATTGCATGTATGCATCCCTTTGATCATACATATGCGTCCCTTTATTCATTCATATGCATCCATTTGTAGTAGTATCTTGCAGCCTGTACCCTGGGGCCAAAATCCCTCACATTTGTCTATATAATGAGGCCTCTGCCTGCCAGTTGTTCCCTCCATCATCCCACCAGTGGACCATCATCCCACCAGTGGACCATCATCCCACCAGTGGACCACATCATCCCATCAGTGGACCACATCATCCCACCAGTGGACCACATCATACCATCAGTGGACCACATCATCCCACCAGTGGACCAGATCATCTCAACCACCCTTATAAATAAATCCATCTTATATATTATTTCATAACTACAAGTCATAGCCACATTACAATTTCAGAATTATATACATTGAAATACAGATTTAACACTTTCATCATCATCATAAACCAAAAGTGCCCTGAACCATATTCAAAAAAAACAACTTCATCAATATAAACAACAATCAATAACATCTTTTACCCTCACACATATCAATCAGCAGCTTCATCTCAAACTTACCCCTATCACTATATATAAAATTGCCAAGCTAAGCTTGGTGGTCTTGTTATTCTGATAGTATAGAAGGGCAGAGCTTGAAACTCCAACATACCCCTCTCCATTCAGCAAAAGAGTTTCATAACCACTTTTGAGTCTTACATCGTCCATCAGTGAGTCAGATCAGAGACATATATATACACAAGAAAGGCATACCAAAGCTGATGATGATAATGAATTTGAATTTGGATGATCAATTGATTTGAAAGCTGACAATCTATTGATTGATCATTGGGGGCATCTGAAGCTGACCGATTTCGGACTTTTGAAGATCGGAATGTTAGGCCAACAGGCAGTGGAGCCACAAGGGCTGATGAGTCTCTCAAGCAGTTTGCGGGATGGGAACCTTGATAAATTGAAGCTGTTCAACTTGGACGGCAGTAGCTTGACGCC